GTGATACAGGTATGTATAATGTCGAACAAGATGTTCGATTAGCTAATAAATTAGACTCGAGAAGCATTGAAGATGTTAGTATGGAATCCGTCGACTTTAAAACATCGGATGAATTATTTCCCGATATGACGTATTCAAATATCAAAACAATGCAGTGTCTCGAGTCAAATACATGCATGTATGTCGAACAAGATATTCGTCTTTTCGACGATAACGAAAAGTTAATTGACTCGAGAAGCGTTGAGGATACTAGCGAATCCGTCGATTTAAACAAATCGGAAGAATTATTTCCCGATACGACGGATTCAAATATCAAAACAATGCAGTGTCTCGAGTCAAATACATGCATGTATGTCGAACAAGATATTCGTCTTTTCGACGATAACGAAAAGTTAATTGACTCGAGAAGCGTTGAGGATACTAGCGAATCCGTCGAATCGGAAGAATTATTTCCCGATACGACGGATTCGAAAATCCAATCAATGCTGTATCAGAAGTCAAATACAGCTATGTATTCTGTAAAGCAAAATGTTAAACTTGGCATAGATAAATGTTTCGAAAGCATGTATATTGATGATTCCAATGACTCCAAAAGCATGCATTATGATAAATCCATTGATTTTGAAAAATCGGTAGAATCATTTACCGATACAATGGATTCTAATATTCAAGTAATGCGATGTCTAGAGTCAAATACAGATATATGCAATGTAGAAAATGGTGTCGAAGATGACAAATATTATGTTATAGAAAAAATTAAAAAGAGCTCTATTGATAAAGATGATATCAAAGAAAATTTGCCTGCAGGCCGTCGCATTATGGACTTCTCTTTTATATGGACTGAGCTGCACAGAATCTTTGACAGACATAATAAAGCACTGGACTGCTCGTCAATTGAAAATTTGTTACTTATAAAGTCTGAAAAATGTGGGTTGAAAACCCAGCTGTTCTTCCAATGTAAAATGTGCAAAACAAAAGCCAGCATTTGGTCAGAACCCACAAAACCGGAAATAATGGACATTAATACGGCTGCTGTAGCAGGAACACTTACTGTGGGAACTGGTTATGCCCAGCTGGAAAAGCAGCTTGCAGTCATGAATGTTCCTAGCATGTCCGAGCCAATGTACATCAAGAGTAGAGACAAATTAGTCGACGAGTTTGTAAACACATCTATAGAAAATATGAAAACGGCTGGTGAAATTGAAAAAAAAATCGCTCTTGATAACAACGAAGTTATAAACGGTATTCCGTATATAACAGTTGTAGCGGATGGTAGTTGGATGAAAAGATCGTATGGTACCACGTACGACTCTCCTGCCGGTATTGGAGCCATAATTGGTTACCGCACGAGAAAGGTTCTCTACGTCGGTGTTAAAAATAAATATTGCATAATATGCGATATGGCAGAGCGAAGAGGTATCGAGCCGAAAACTCACAATTGCTATAAAAATTTTGATCGCAACGTAAGCTCCACAAAAATGGAGAGCGATGCCATTGCAGAAGGTTTTAATTGTAGCCTCGAAATGCATGGTCTAATTTTTAAAACGCTTGTTGCTGACGGTGACAGTAGCGTATACCAAAGTATTAAAAATAATAATCCATACGGAGAACATATGATAACAGTTACCAAAATAGAATGCACGAATCATCTGCTACGTAATTTATGTAAAAAAATTAAAACTGTAGCAGAGAAAACTCGGCCAAAAACATCCAGACGGCCTGGCTTAATACAAGTGCGAAATGTAATAAAAAACAAAATTTTAGAAATACGAAAGGAAATAACTGAGGCAGCCGCTCTACGAAGACAAGAACGGCAACCTCAACATCGTCAGGCTATGGAATTACAAACAGATATTTTAAACATTCCTAGGCATGTTTTTGGCGATCACAAGCAATGCAAAGAACGTGGCAAAGAGACTTGCGATGGAGAAGAAAATTATATAGATTCTTTAAAATCACATGGTCTCTATTTAGAAATAGAAGAAGCTGTCGAGTATATAAGTGGTTACTCTGACAGCTTATTGTTAAATTATACGAATAACATTACAGAGTCATTTAATTCGTCGATCTGCGCACAAATTGGCGGCAAACGTATTCTTGTTAATAAAAAAGGTGGTTACAATGCTAGAGTTGCGGGGGCAGTTTTGCAATTTAATACGCAACAAGTAATTACAGAAGTACATAAAAGCATGAATAAGACTGTTCCGCCTATTGTCGAGAAGTTGGAGAAGCGCCGAAGAGAAAAATTAAAGAAAAATAAAGAGTATCGACAAATAGAAGGAAGATCAAAAAAATTCAAACAAAAATCGGGAACAGACTCTTATTATGGTCCACACTCGCAAAAACCGGATCTACCGTCCGATGTAATCGAGCAATTTCGACAAAATCATTTTAAAAAATTGTCCGAAAATGCAAAAAATTGGCAAAAAATTGAACGCGACACTACAAAACAAAATGAATCACAACAATGGCTACAATTGAGACGTAAAATGTTAACGGCATCTAATTTTGGAACCGTATGTTGTAAAAGAATGAAAACGTCTTGCGCATTGCCTGTGAAAAATATTTTATATCCTTCTGCTATTGAAACCGAGGCAATAAAATATGGTCGCGAAAAAGAACCAATTGCGAGAAAAGAATTAGTCGAAATACTAAAAAAAAGAGATTAAACCTTGTGGATTATTCATTGATATTGAACATCCATACTTGGGTGCTTCTCCAGATGGACTTATAGATGAAGACGGTCTGGTAGAAATAAAATGTCCGCACTCAGCTAAGAACTTAACAGCTGAAGAAGCTATAAAGATGACTCCACTAAAGAACATCTTTGATAAGAAAAATTCAGAACAAATGAATAAAAATCATAAATATTTCTATCAAATTCAAGGCCAGTTAAATATAACGCGGCGAGAATATTGTGTTTTTACTATGTGGACGCCAAAAAGCTTAAAAATAATACGTGTTATAAAGGATAATGATTTTTGGAGTAATAAAATGCTACCCTTTTTAACAAATTTCTATTATAATTGCATGCTGCCAGAAATCTTGGATAGTCGGCATAATAGACATATGCCTATTAGAAATCCAGATTATATAATAGAAGCTCAAAAAGGGGTAAAAAAATTAAATAGTTGTCGACAATGTAATACAGAAAACAAAAATATTATCAAAGAAAGTCAATGTTGCGAATATAATAGTTTATCTATGAAAGCAACTGTCACTCCTGTTACTGTTATAAGTGCGGAACAAGATGACGATTGCGCTATTGTAAATAGTTACTCACAAAATAAAAAAGAACTAACTGAAAACGATATGGCACGACAAAAAAATTTTCTCGATAATCGTCCTATATCTGATAGTGAAATAGAGAAAAATGTATTACCTGTGGATAGTCTAATAAACGACGATTCATTGGACAAATTCTTGCGCGTCGTAAAAAATACATGTCCTTTTGAAACACAAAGTGTGTTATATTTAGAATATTCTCATTTAATTGAAGCAAGTCGTAGCGACAAAAGCTTACAAATTATTGGAGGAAATTGCAGTAATCATTGGCGATGTATATTTTTTGACGGCACCAAGCTTCGAGTGTATGACAGTCTACCCGATTGTACATACAATAAATTGGTGCCTAAAGAAAAAAATTACATTCATCGTCGTTATCCACAAATAAGTGCAAATGATATTATATTTGAAAAGGTTCAAAAACAACCTGATGGCACATGTTGTGGAATTTATGCTGCAGCTTTCGCTACAACTATAGCTTTAGGAGAAAATCCTTGTAATATGACATATTCGAATCGTATTGATAATATGAGGCAACATTTTCTTTACATTATCGAAGAAAATAAACTGTCGCCTTTTCCAAAATTCTAAAAAAAGAATCTTTAGGAAAAGATGCCTCAAATAAATATAACACAAATTTTATGTATTTATATCTAACGATATATACATAAAGAGGTGCATGTTTTTGTATATATCGAAATTATATATATATCGATTTTGCAAATAATACATAAATGTCAATATTGCTATAAATATCAGCACTTGTCTCTTCTCCCTGTAAAATGAAACAAAAATTCTTTCTCGATTTACACCTACCTTGTCGTGGTGAAAAAGCTTTATACTAAAAGGTGTAAATAAGAGAGCAACAAAAAATTAAATTAGAAGTACATTTTATATCATGTTTTTTAGTGTCTAAAAGAAATTGTACAGACACTTGTACCTTTTCATCATATAAATATAAATATAGAAACACATATACATATTATGTATGTCAAAGTGAACAATAAATTGTGTTCAAATAAAGTAAAAAAAAACACATTTATATTTATATTCTTATCATCGACATTATACGCAAATATATGCGTATAAGATGATGTGTAACAATGTGTATATATAATTATTTTTTATAAAATTACAAGTTATATAAAATGGGACATTCTATTTAAATATATATCCTATATATACATATATATATATATATATATATATATATATATACATAGTTATACATATAATGCGTACAATATATGGATATTTATTCATATACGTATATGCATATACATTTTGATAAATATACAAAGGTCAAATATAGGTTATTGCAGGTTAGAAAAAATAATGACCTACAATTATTACAATTTTTTACCATAAATAGAAAAATGAATGCTTCATATAAATATGACATGCAAGATTTTTATTTGTGTGTAATATGTATGTATGTACGCATATACATATATAAATACATATATAAATAAAGAGAATTACTTACCACGTTCACGGTTCGCCATTATGCAAACACACTGATCTCTCTCTTTCTCTCTCTCTCTCTCTCTCTATATATATATATATATATATATATATATATATACTTATATATAGAGAGCTTTCATGTAATTGATGCGTTGATTTTGATGCGTTTATAGCAGTTTTATTTTATATATATTTTAAGTACAGTTTAGTGTACTTTTTAGTAGCATTGAGTATAGAGTATTGTTTTGTATACAGTGTACAGCGTTTTCTTTTATCAGAGCTTTTAGTTCAGTATTATTAGTATTATTTAGAGCATATTATATATCCATTATGCCTAAATATACTAGGAAAAATAAAACAATCTTGGCAAAACGTTTGTCAATGTCACAAAAAATGCGTCGCTTGCGACAAGCGCGCGACAACATTTTTGTGACAATTCTTTCGTGAATCAAGAAAGAATTGATGAAGACTCCGGAAAAGAATCATTGGAATGTGGGTCGTATTCAGAAATTCCAGGTAAATCACACCAATTTTATGCATGCGAGAATAACAGAAATGTAGATAACGACATGTCGACATCGTTATCTTGTATAGAAACATTTTCTCAATCATCTGTCGATGCATGTGCAACACAGAAGTTTCAATCAGAAAAAAATAATATTTTAGATGATGATGATTCATCTGTAGGATTATTATCAGACGTTCGCGAATTTTGTAAAAATTTGACATGTTTGTCGATGAACGAGCCGCACGCATATACAGATGAGAGAAATGTGATGACAGATAATGATGCGTTCACACCGCAGTCGTTAAATACATTTTTAGAAAATTCTGCAGATGCATGCACGGAATGGGAAAATACAATGCAAAGCAATATCGAAGATATCAAAGATGTCGAAAATGTTAAAGACGTCAAAAATATCGAAAACGTAGAAACCGTTGAAAATGTTGAAGACGTTGAAAATGTTGAAGACGTCGAAGATATCGAAAATATTGTTTTGCATACAGATGAGAATATCGACGCATATCGTTTACATTCTGAAGAGATTAGTGGACGACGTATCGTCAATGTTGGACATTTTTTTGCTGAATTGCAGAGACTGTCCACTCATTGGATCGGCGAATGTCGTTTTACTGATCTTGTATTGAGTGAAAAGAAGCGTGACGGTCTAAAAACCCAATTTTCTGTCAAATGTCGAATGTGTCACACCACAGGTGACTTTTGTAGTGAACCGACAGATGAGAGAATATTGGATGTCAATAGTGGTATCGTTTCCGGTACTATATTGACAGGGACTGGTCATAAGCAGCTTGAAGAACTTCTTTCAGCTGCAGATATTCCATGCATGCGTAATAAAACATATATAAAGTATCATAATAAAATGTCGGAAGCCTTCGCCGCCGCCGCGGAAAAAGAAATGCGTGTAGCTGGCGAAGAGGAAAAACGTTTAGCAATAGAAAGAGGAGATGTCATAGACGGCATTCCGCATATACCCGTGATAACAGACGGCTCGTGGATGAAGAGATCCTACCGTACTGGTAGTTACGATTCTCCATCCGGAGCAGCTATTATTACGGGATATTATTCAAAAAAAGTATTATTTGTTGCTGTCCGAAATAAATATTGTATTGTTTGTGCGAGAGCAGCGAAAATTAATACAGTAGCAAAAAAGCATGTATGTTACAAAAATTGGGGGAGCAATCAGAGCTCCACCAGTATGGAAAGTGATATAATCCTTGAAGGCTTCCGACTAAGTTTAGAAATGCATGGCCTTATTTATAATAAATATATCGGTGACGGTGATAGTAACGTATTAAAAAAATTGAGAGATTTTCCACCGTATCCAAATATTGTTGTGCAGAAGATTGAATGCACGAATCATCTCCGCAATCTTTCTAATAAAATACGTGAGGCAAGTAGTACCGGTAGTAGAAATATTTCAAAATTGAAAAAGGTCGTTGAGCACAGCGTTATGAAAATTCGAAACGCTGTGGTTAAGGCTGTCACCTTTCGCCGCAATCGTGAAGTTAGTTGGCAAATAAAAATTTCAGAATTAATCAAAGATTTAAATAATATACCTAGCCATGTATTTGGTGAACATAAAGATTGTGCTTTGCTTCAATATTTCTGTAATGGACAACAGAAAGAAGGCGAAAAAAATCTTGTGCCCCAATTACAACGTGCAGGATTATTACAAAAAGTACAAAATGCTATGAAACGCGTAATAGAAAATGCCGATAGCTTACTTTATCAATTTACTAGTAATTCTGTTGAAAGTTGTAATGCAATTATTAGTAAATTTATTGGTGGCAAGCGCGTTCATTTTGCCATGAAAGGTTCTTACCAGACACGCGTTAAAGCATCAGTAGTGCAACATAATACTTCGCGAGCCTTGAGTTCTGTTTGTCGTGTAATGAAAAACCACCTACACAAACAGATATCATTGAAACTAGAAATATAAAAAAAAATGCCAACCAGCTTAAACGAACACGTGCGGCGAAAGAATTAGGTCTCTCTGTTCGTACATCTAAATTTTCTACTAAAATAATGACTGATAAAGATTATGGACCAAATGTAGAACGGCCAGATATCGAAAGTAATATATACGAACAGCTGAGACGTAATCATTTTCAAATGTTATTAGATCAGCAAAGTAATCGTACTGTATTGGAGTATGCTACACGGGATCAGCATGAAAACCCGGTGTGGCTCAACATACGGCGAAATCTTCTCACTGCTTCAAACTTTGGAAAAGTTTGTAGTAGAAGAGAAACAACTTCGTGCAAAAATCTAGTTAAAGCAATTCTTTATTCTCCTCAATTGACAAATGCGGCTGTTGAGTGGGGTAAAGAAAAAGAAATGATAGCACGTAAGCAATTGCAGGAGGAGTTGGGGATACAAATTGATAATTGTGGAATATATATTGATGAAAATATTCCATACCTTGCTGCGACGCCTGATGGCATTGTCGGAGACGATACTATCGTTGAGATTAAATGTCCTTATGCGGCGCGACAAGTGTCTCCCATCGATGCAATGCTCAATAAGATTTCAGACATTCATAGAATGTTTGATAAAACGGATGACACTCGAATAAATGAAAGACACGCGTACTACTTCCAAGTACAGGGACAACTCCACATAACGCAAAAAAATAATTGCATTTTTGCTGTGTGGACACCCTTGGGATTGAAGTACACGATTGTCGAGCGTGATGACAGATTTTGGGAAACAAAAATGTCACCACTGCTTAAACGATTCTACGAGGACTGCTTGGTTCCTGAAATAATAGATAGTAGAGCAGCAAGAAATATGCCTATTCGGGAACCGCAGTATGTCATCAAAGCACAAGCGGCTAAGAAAAATGACATAAAAGTGGAAAGTGTTATTGAAAGCACCACTACCACTGTTGCTATTCCAGAAATGGAGCAAGATGACGATTGCATTATAACTGATTACTCAAATGAAAAAAGAGATCTAACTGAGAATAATATAAAAAGACAAAGAAAAATGTTAGATGATATAATACCTTCACTCTTATTAGTGAAGAATAATGTATTGCCTATAGATAGTAAATTAAATGATGAATCGTTAGATCTATTTTTACGTATTATAAGAGAGACTTCTTGCTTTGAAACACAAAGTGTGTTATATTTAGAATACCCGCACATAATTGAAGGTAGTCGTAGCAATAAAAGTTTACAAATTATTGGCGGAAATTGCACAGATCATTGGCGATGTATTTATTTTGATGGCACCAAACTTCACGTGTACGACAGCTTACCTGGTACTACGTACGATAAATTGCATGCTAAAGAAAAAGAATATATTCGCCTTCGTTATCCTAAGATAAACAAATATGATATGATTTTTGAAAAAGTACAAACACAATTAGATAACACTTCTTGTGGAATTTATGCTGCGGCTTTCGCTACAACTATAGTATTGAAAGGAAATCCTTGTAATGAAAAATATTCCAGTGACGTAAAATGCATGAGACGTCATTTAATTAAAATTCTAGAAAGCAACAAATTATTGCCTTTCCCGAATTAATATTTTTCATTATTTAAACTCATCTTTGTGTAAACTTTTATTGCTGCCATTATGCAAAAATAAGCAATGATAAAATAAAATGGTACAAGTTATCTGCAATCGTCATTGTATAGAACATATAGTATAACATAAAAATCTCGGAGAGACGATAAAAGATTATTGGTTGCGTTCTCACGGGAATGGGCGTTGGAGGGGCCCATTCTATATTTTATATATGTAATATTAAATTTATTATGACAATTAAATTTTATGTTATACTTTTGTTTTGAAAATAGTGCATTGCAAATTAGATCGCAATTTGAACTGAGGTGATTGCGTCGCAAAGTGTTAATATCAGATATATTTTGTTTTGCAATGTACTATTTTCAAAAATATTTAGTAATGGGTAACAAATAACAAGATACAAGTATAGAAACACATAACAAACAAAGTTGCATGTAAAATAAGAAATATTTTATAATACAAGTATACTTCCCATAATATGGTTGAGGTCACTTTGCGACGCAATCATTTAACTTAGTTTAAATTGCGATCCACTCGAATTATTAATTCGTGTTGTTTATTAAATATGTACAGAAACAATAGCAATTACATATATTAAAATTTTTATTAACTTCAAATTATAGAAAAGATTAGATATTTAAATGTATGTATATTTATATGTACATTGCTTTGCTATTGTTTACTGTACATTGTATACATATTATTATATATCTTTATTCCAAAGTAATTGTACTACATTAAAAACTTTAAAATAGAAAAGATCTCAAAAATAATACAATCAAATATATAATTCATAGATGTTTGATTGCATTGGAAAAAATTGCATATATTATTCTTTTATTAACATTTCTTATTATTTATATTATTTTTTATATTTATATTAAATATTTTTTACAATATTTTGTATTAAATATTTATATATAACGATTTTCGGGATAAGAATATGTAACAATATGTTGTAGCGCTTCTATTGTTGTGTTTCCAATAAGCGCAAAAAATTATGATGTTATTATAAGTAATTGATATTTTAATATTATATAATTGACATTGTTTTCCTTTCAGATTTTATAATGAATTATTTCTTTTATTATAATTATATTGATATTATCTATAGAGTTGCTTGTTGCAGATAGATTTGGAGACGTCTGAAGGGCGGATCACTTTCAATAAAGAGGCGGATACCATTGAATCAACGCCATATTGCAGCATGTAACGTATGCATAGTGGGGGTTTTAGTGAGTAAGAATCTCACACTACCCCAGAAAACCGGGGTGCCTTTTGAAGGTTTCCCCCACGTAAAAAAAAAACGCTGCTGCCATGTTGCTCTAACTTCAATTAATTAATAATGCAATATAATAATCAACAATTATTTGTATATAATAATATATATAGGTAATATATTTTAATATATAAAAATATTAAAAAATATTTTTTTAAGATTAATAGAAAAAAAGAATATTTTTTAAATATTCTTTTTCAATTTATAATCTTTAAATTAATTAATCTTTAATCTTTAAAATTGTAATCCGCCTTTCTTAATTTTAAAAATCTGATTTTACATTCATTATTTATCAGTGAAGAAATTTTTACATTAATATCTGTGAAAAAAGTGAACCATTCTATCGAACCTCTAAAGACTTTGTATTAGTAGTATAAGGAAACGTGCGAAAAATATTTTCAATTTTTAATTTAGTTTTTTCAATAAACTGTTTATAGGTTCGACCTTTTATATATTTTTTACATAAACTACAAGAAGTTTTATTTTGAGCCGTCGTAGCACTTTTTATCACATCCCAATTTAAAGCTATATATTTTACGGAAAAGTATCTAAAATGCCCTTTTTTGCATCTTTAGATCAAGATATCTAAAAAACGTGACGTGATACGCAATTTTTGCGGCCGAATTTGTAATCGGCATGAAAAAAATCTACAAAAATACGCTTTGAAAATCTTCAAACCTGAAAAAAGTCATTTTTTGTCGACCAGTGTTATTGATTGAAGCATAGCACAAACTGAACATTTTATATTGTATACATTGTCTGCATAATATTTTACTTATTTATAAAATATATAATATATAAGTTTATATATATGCACACACATAGATATGACAATAGCGTTATCGTGATTTTTTTCGATTATTGAAGTTATATTGTATAATCTCTCTCTTATCTCTTTCTCTCTGCTACATAAATACTATTATAACGTAAAAGAACTTACGAGTAACGTATGATGGCTCAATGCAATAATATTCAATCACGTAAAAAACTTGAGTTCAAATATATCAATATCAATTTTTTTACAATATATTAGAATATAGAAAAATTATAGAAATATAAGGCGATAAACTTGAAAATTTTTAAATATTGAAAATATTTTAATCATTTTTACAATTACATACACTATATATATATATATATATATATATATATATATATAAATGCAAAATAAGTCCGTAAATAAATTTATCAAGTAATAAATCCGTTGCATGCTTGCAGCTACATATGCACACACAAATAGCTGGTATGTTGATTTTTATTAAAAATTTATTTTCTGTATTATTTTGCATTTATATAGTGTGTATGTGGGTGTGTGTGTGTGTGTGTGTGTGTGTGTGTGTGTGTGTGTGTATGTGTGCGCGCGCGCGCGTGTAGTAAAAATATTTTCAATATATTTATAAAATTTTTATTGCCGAAATATATTTTTTTATCATTTCTCTGTATTCCAATATATTATTAAAAAATTGATATTGATATATTTGAACTCTAATAATTTACTGGGTGATACATACTGAACATCCTTTGCATTGATCAATATTACTCGACATAAGTTCTTTTATGTTATAAGTATTTATGGAGCAAATTATACAATAACATCAATAATAGAAAAGAAATCAAGAATAACCAACGCATATTCGTCAATCTATGATTGCTATACAAGCTAATAATAATTTATATTCGTTCTCTTATTCTTGTCTCTCGAAAAAGTATAAGCAATAAATTATCAATCTAACAAGTACCCGTGTCTAACATTGTAGACTAATTTACTTTCAATTATGCTACTGTTATTATTTATCATTAGACAATTATAAAACATATATATATAGCACTACAAATTATATATGTATATGTTTTATAATTTATTTTATATTTTATTATTTGACAAGTTAAATCTCTCCGAATCATAATTTGCGCTTACATCTTAAAGACGAAATGCTGTAACTCTCTGATATTCCAATCTGTATTTTTGAAAAGGACCACATCCCGTATGGTCGAAACGTTAAAATAAATATATATACAACTTTAATTTGAGGCCAGTGTAGTCAGACCAAATCTATAACCTCTGTTTTATAATTGTCTAATGATAAATAATAACAGTAGCATATATAATTGAGAGTAAATTAGAATATTTTATATATATATAT